TAGGACTTAGACGGCAAAAGCCATGTGACCCAGAAGGGTGCTGCAGTTAATGCCAGGTCCCGCATTCTCCAGCAGTTTTTGTCAAAGTAACAAGCATTGAATGCTTGTTAACTTGTACAAAATACAGTTAGTATAAGTAAATGAGAATGTTGTTATAAATAGTCAAGGCCCCAAAGAAGAATGAGAAGTGAAAATTCACAGTGTAGAAATGGTGAGAGAGGCCATTCAGCCACTGCCAATAGCCAGTTCCATTTTGGAGAGCATGCAGCGGGTTCTGTCCTCCCTCTCCTCAGTGGGCAGCCACCAACTAAATCTCTGTAACTGTCCAGTATGGGCCTGTGCAGGGCTCACCATTGAAGTCTCAGGTTTATCACCACATTGTGAGTCACAGCTGTCCACTTGGTTGGTGAACTCAGAGTTAGCTTGATACAGATGTTGACTCAGGCCAACCAAACCTACCCCACCCCAACCACAGACAGAAACAATGACTCTACCCCCTGAGTCCCTGTGAAAGGGATGTATGTGCCCCATACATACTTCTGCCAGAGCCCTTATAACCCTTTTTTCAGTTTGTTTACATGCTTGTCTCCTATGAAATCAGCTCCTTAGGGGTGAGAGCCTTGTCTTGGTCATCTTTGGATCCTCAGTAGTTTGCACAGGGCACGAAACACAGTAGGCATTTAATAAACATTTATCAACGGAATCACTGAGGGGATCTTCTTCCAGTATAGAAAACCACTTGCCACATAACACTTCAGATCTTAGTCTCCTAGCTCTGTCTTTGTCTGCTTGGGCTGCTATAGAAAGTACCATAGACGGAGTGACTTAAACAACAGACATTTATTTTCTCATAGTTCTGAAGGATGGAAGTCCAACATGAGGGTGCCAGCATAATCAGGTTCTGGTGAGGGCTCTCTTCCTAGGTTGCTTATGGCTTCCTTGCTGTGTCCTCACATGGTAGGGAAAGAGATGAGAATGGGTGGGGGGAGGGTAATATGTAAGCTCTCTGGCATCTTTTCTTACAAGCACACTAATCCCATCATGAGGGCCCCACCCTCATGACCGCATCTAATCCTAATTACCTCCCAAAGGCCCCATCTCCACATAACATCACACTGGGGATTAGGGCTTCAACATATGAAACAGTCCATTGCCAGGGTGTCATACTTCAAGGACACTGCTAAAAAAATCACTGTAAGTACTTGTTCTACCATGTCCTTTTTTCCCCAGGGTCAGTGCCATCCATCTCTCCTCTGAGAGGTTTTTTGTTTGTTTTTTGTTTTTTAAGCAGCTGATTAGGTTTCAGCTCTAAATTATTTTCACATTCCAATATTTTTCTCTCTGGCATTAATTCCAGATAACCTTGATTGGACTTGGGTGTCCTTAAAGTTTCCTCAGCCACACATTTGCAAATGATCTCATCATTTACACTCTTTAAAAATAGTATTATTTTTTCCTGATTGCAAAATAAGACATTTTCATTGCAGAAAATTTAGAACAGAAAAGTACAAGGAACAAAACTGAAACTTAATGTAAACATCCATTTTATTTTGATTCTTTTACATTTTACTCTTGCAGTTCTAGAGGATGTCTTATTTTCAGAAAGATACATCATCCACTGAATTAGGTGAAAGGCAACATAAATACTTTATATTTAACTTCTGTGAAGATACACAGATTGAAGAACTTCTGTTGTGTATAATGAATACTGAGCCTTCCAAATAATCATTCATTCACCTGGTAATATTCAAATATTCATTTTGCAATCAATAAAACAGACAAATCCTTACATTCATGCACTCAAAATGCACTTATAATATACTACTATGTGCCAGGCATTATGCTAAGTACCGAGGAATAGAGCAATGACCAAGATGTTCAAGGGCTCTGCTTAATGGAACTTGAGTTCTAGTGGGAAACTGACACTGTGGAGAATTCAAATATGAATGAGACATGATACTTGCCTTCAAGAATCTTATAAGGAAATAAGATATGTACAAATAGCTGTAATTCAAATGAATAATTCAAAAGTGTTCTAAGGAGAAAGACATGTATCATATGACCTCACTGATATGAGGAATTCTTAATCTCAGGAAACAAACTGAGGGTTGCTGGAGTGGTGGGGGGTGGGAGGGATGGGGTGGCTGGGTGATAGACATTGGGGAGGGTATGTGCTATGGTGAGTGCTGTGAATTGTGCAAGACTGTTGAATCACAGAACTGTACCTCTGAAACAAATAATGCAATATATGTTAATTAAAAAAAAAGAAGAAGATAGGAGGGGAAGAATGAAGGGGGGGAAATCGGAGGGGGAGATGAATCATGAGACGATGGACTCTGAAAAACAAACTGAGGGTTCTGGAGGGGAGGGGTGGGAGGATGGGTTAGCCTGGTGATGTGTATTAAAGAGGGCACATTCTGCATGGAGCACTGGGTGTTATGCACAAACAATGAATCGTGGAACACTACATCAAAAACTAATGATGTAATGTATGGTGATTAACATAACAATAAAAAATTTTTTAAAAAAGTGTTCTAAGAAAAATTTCTTAAAGGAGGCAAAACTTGAAATGGACCTTCAATTCGAATTGATGTATTAATATTAGAGAGTAGGTGAAAAAGAAAACAACTAGGTCAAAGGGTGGGCATATTAGAAAAGTTTGAAATAGTGAAGCCTGGAATATAGTAAATAATTGGTACTTAAGGTGGATAAGAGAATTAGTGACAGGTAGGAATGGAAAAGAAAATTGGCAGTTAAATTTTAACCAAGTTTGACCACATTTCTATTTTTATTATTTGACCATCACCTTTCAATTTATTGCTTCCCAATGTAAAGAACCATTTATATAGAAGATATTTTTAAGCTATTTTCATCATGTCAAATTTAGTGAAAAAATCCTCGTTCCTCAAAAGTGTTTTGCTTTCAATGACATGGTTGCAAATATAATCAACTTAATTACTTTTAAGTTACTCAAGTTTTTACAAGAAAAGGTATCAATGTTTTTTAAATGTTTTTTAAACCATTATTAAATTTTCATCATGTTATCTTTAAATAAATGAAGGACATTATTTTTGAAATGTTTCAGAACATTGTATTTCTATATGATTAATTTATGTAGTTCTTTTTAACCGGTGGGAACTGCTTTGTGACATTTTAGGAACAAGAAACACAGGTTTTATTTTTTTTAATAATTTATTTATTTTTATTAACATATAATGTATTATTTGTTTCAGGGGTACAGGTCTGTGATTCATCAGTCTTACACAATTCACAGCGCTCACCATAGCACGTACCTTCCCCAATGTCCATCACCCAGCCACCCCATCCCTCCCACCCCCTCCACTCCAGCAGTAACACAGGTTTTAGTTGACAAACCCAAATTAAATCTGACTTCAGCCCTCTGTTCTGATGAGAATTCCAAAACCCCACTTGTTGATGTGCTCTCCAAACTCCTTAGGATGGACCCTAAAGCACTAACCTCTCCAGTAGCTCATTGCATCTGGAGCACAGAGCAGTGCCCTAGAGGCCCTCAGACTCCTCTCAAAAGCCTTCCTTCCCAGCTCTACCATCTGTACCGCCACCAGTATCCTGCTTTTCCCTTCCCTGCCAGGAGAACAAAGCATTTCCCTAACCCTATACTCACAAAAAATCTTGTCTATTCTCCTAAAAGAAGGGAGAAAATAACTTTCAATCCTTGCTGAGATGTCTACACCATGCTAAAGATGAGGGAGAATTTTTTTATTTGATCGCCCTAGAAAGAGTTGTAATTTAAGTCAGATTTTAAAGGATAACTAAGAAAAGGGGAAAGAGAACACTCTTGATAGAATAACTTTAGGGGCGCCTGAGTGGCTGAGTCGGTTAAACATCCTACTCTTGATTTCGGCTGAGGTCATGATCTCAGAGTCTGGGATGCAGCCCCTCCTAGGGCTCTGTGCTGGGCCTGGAGCCTGCCTAGGATTCTCTCTCCCTCTCCCTCTACCCCGCCCCCACCCCCACCCCGATGCCTGGACGTACACTCTCTCTCTCTTAAAAAAAAATAAAATAAAGTAAAATAACATTAAAAAAACACATAGGCAAAAAGGGATACAGTGTGTGCAGGAATTGAAGTTGTTTGGAGTATCAGAAGCGAAGTTAGAAAAGGGCAGTTTGTCTTCATAAAAAGTTTGGACTTAATCCAATAACAGTTGTTTTTCCTCTTTTAGGAATCTTGGAGATTCCATAAGAGGCGCCTTAGGACTAAGAACCCAAAGCTTCTAGGGGCCCACCCTCAACTAGAGTAGCTCTGCTTTCGTTTCATATGAAGGTCTCCACATAAGATTTCATGTGGAAAAAAAAAAAAGGTTTTATACTAATAACAGGACATTGAGTGTTTACTTTGGACCGAGCCCTGTTCCAGACACTTGTCACGTATCAATTCACTTTTCTCACACCGCCACCAACCACGTCCTTTACAGAAGAGAAAACGGAAGCTCAGGGAGTCTATTTGTCTGTCATTCTATAGCTGTAGAGTGGCAGTGCTGAAATTTGAGCCCAGACAGTCTTAACCCCAGAGACTATTCTCTTTTACAACCGCATTATATTTAAGCTGGCTTCAGAGGAAACGTGAGTTGTGACAAGTCACTTCTGGCACATGCAGCCCCCTGGCGCTGCTTTTTGGCTGAAGGGCCCTGTGATGTCAACTCTGTCCCTGGACTTTGACAGTCCAATAGGTCAATATTCACAAGAGACGTGGAAAGGAACGAGTCGAATAGACGGAAAGCACACCTGGTGCTCGCGGCAAACCCCAAAACTCTCACCTCCACAGGCCAGAGCGCCCACCACGCACCACTTACGGGCGCAGCCGTCACTAGCCCCGCCCCGTCCCCGCCAGCCCTCCGCTGAGCCAGCGGCCATTAGCCTGGCCCCAGCTGCCCGCGCGGGGGTCGGGTCCCGGCGGCTTTCACACCCCCTCCCCCCATCTCTCCAGCACCACCACCACCACTACCCCACCCCCCCGCCCCCAGCGCGGCGCGTGGTGAACGCGGCGGTTGCTGGGCGCCAGGGCCGCTCCCGGGGTAGCGAGGGATGCTGAAGGAATTGTAGGTACGGTCCATTTTTCTCAACTCCGTCCCTTTCCAGGCCCTTGGGCACTACTGGTCCCTCGTCTCGCGCCGTCCTTCCCTTCCTGTGGACCCGAGGAACTCCTTTCCTCCCGCTTCAGGAGGATTCATGGCTCCTTTGTCAGAGGCTGGCGAAACAGCCACAGACCCTTTTCTCTCCTCCACCCTGACTCGTTTCTTTACTCCCTCACCCGACATCTCTTCTTTATTCTTGCCCTTCCTCCTCTGTTCCTCGCATTTTACAGGTAATTCGCAAGTAAGAAAAAAGAGGTCTGTCAGTCAAGACTGACTGCAAAATTAATTTTATTAAGGGCGGGCGGTTGTACAAATGGTGAATATCTGCAAATGAACCTTAACATGCTCCTGTGACTGGAGGTGTGTTCCAGGGTTCGTTGCTTATCCCGGGAAGGCTTTCCTCCCTAACTCACCCTCCTCTCAGTTGCCCCGTCCCCAGCCTATTTCTGTTGGCTTTATCACAGTGGACAAGCCCTTTAGATCAGTGCTTTTGAAGGATTAAGGACAGTTGTTGCACAGGTACCAGGTGTCCAGTACATCATTCAAGAGTCATAAGAGCTCTGCAGGCCCATACCCGGTCCCTGACGCCCCTCTATGTGTGTCCTAGAGCCTATGAAAAATTAGATGGTGCGATGGAGAGGAGCAATTGACCCGGGTACTCCCTAATTTTCCGTAAGGGTAAATAGAATGGTTATTTGTGCAACAGCACTGTGAAAATTAACACTTGTTACTATCACAACTAAAGAATTCATAACCCCAGATGGTTTAGTTACTATGTGCCTATGAAAAGGGCATTCATATTTATTGCCTTCAGTGAGTACCAAAATTTATATAGCTGTTTTTATCAGTTGGCTGTCTCTTGTCATGAGTTCCCGCCCATTACCGGACCAAGGGAAAGAGGCAAGTGCAGTAATAGTACTATATAAATAACATGTTTATGCTACATCTCATTTTGTACATTATTTTCATATTCATCCTGTTTATACATTTCTGTGAGATGGAGTTGGTTAACAAAACTCCATTTTACTGAGGAGGGAACTAAACACAGACTAAACAGTACCTGGAACTTAGTATAATATACATTCAGTAAATATTTGTTGAAGGGATGAATGTATGAGATCCTCAAGGAGCCATGCCTTATTCGCCTTTGTATTCCCTGGACCCAGAGCTAAGCCTAGCACTCCTAAGTTCACAAATGTGAGAGAGGTCGAGTGACTCACTCAGGAACAGGCGTTTATTAAATATCTTTAGGGAACTACTATTTTGCCATTATTCTGAATACAATGGTAAGAAAGACTGGCAAGATTCCTGTTCTCATAAAATTTAGTGAAAAAGGAAACAAGATATGAACAAGGGAAATTGGATAATGTTAAGTGACGTGAAGAAGTAAAACAGTATGAAGTGAGAGAGATACTGGGGAAGAAGTTGCTTTAGATTAATTGGTTAAGGAAGGGCTCTCTGAAGAGCTAACGTTTGTGCTGAGACCTCAGTGATCTAAAAAAGCCAGCCACAGAAATATTTAGGATCAGAGCATTGCAGTTGAAGGAAACTCCAACTGCAAAAATCCTACAGTAGCTTTCAAGGAACACCATAAGACTGCTGTAGCTGGAATATGGATAAAGTGGTATAATATGACCTTGAAGAGATAGGTAGGAGCCAAATCATACAGGGCTTTGAATAGATCATGGAGATCTACCCATGGAATAAGTTTGGAATTCATTTCAAGTGTGATGATAAACCAGCAAAGAGTTCTTCTGAAAGGGAGTAATATAATCTGATTTACATTGAAAAAAGATGTGTTCTGCCTATTATGTGGTTAATGGATCATAGGGATTGCGGGAGAAGATTAGTAGCAGAAGATAGTTGTGATCCAGGAAAGAATGACAGTAGTTTGGGCTAGAGTGGTATAAGAAGTGGATGGATATGAGATGTATTTGGAGGCAGAATCTACAGACTTGGTGATGTTATGAATATAGGAGTGAGAAAAAAAGAGAAGCTCCTAGGCTTTTCTCTTGAATTTGAGTGGATGGTTGTGCCGTTTACTAAATGAAAAAGACTAAAGAAAATGAGTGTGTGTGTGTGGGTGTGTTTGTGTGTGTGTGTGTGTGTGTTGGGGGAGGGTTGTTTTTATTTTGCTCACCTTAAGTTTGATATGCTTATCAGAAATCTAAAGTAAGTTCTGTGTCTTGAGTTCTGTGTAAGGAACCAAAGACACAAAGTTGAGAAACATCAGCATGTAGAAAAAATTACCTGGAGAAAGTGTTTTCATAGAGCATTCCAATGATTAGAGGTAAAGCAGAGGAAAAGAAGCAAGCGAAGGAGATGGAGAAAGAGTAGCCAGTGAAGTAGGAAGAAAACCCAAAGAATGCGGTGACTTAAAAGCCAAGACAACAAAGCATGGCCAGTATTATTGAAACATGCTGAAAATTCAAATAAAAAAAGAGATCTGACCATTGGATTTTGGCAACATGTAGTAGTTATGTGCCTTGACAAGCACAATGAAGAGAAAATGTAATGTGAAGCAATAGACATAGCACTATAGATATCTCAAGATATTTCATGAAGAAGAGCTGCGAAATGTAGGTAATAGAGGAATATGTGGGGTCAAAGTAGAATTTTCAAAGATGGGAATACTGAAGTGTGTTTTTAGGCTAATGGGAATTATCCAGTAGAGGAGAAAAATTATAGCATAAGAGAGAATGTATATGTTTTAAGAATGAAGTCTTTGAGAAAACAAGAGAGAATGGGATCCAGGGAATATGTAGACGTGTTGGCTCAGAAACATGAATATAAAATTTATAGTAATAGAAAGAAAGGCAGTGAGTATAGGTAGAGATGCAGATAGATGAATAGATTCAGTGATCTCAGGAGAGAGTTTCTCAAAGTAGAAGGTCTGAGGCTAGATCAGTAAGGAGAGAAAAGGAAGAATGTTTGGGTAGGAGGCCTAAGGGGTGAAAAGAAGGCATAAAATAGTCATTTTATTTTATTTTATATTTTTAAGATTTTATTTATTTGAGAGAGAGAACACAAGCAGGGGGAGCGGCAGGCAGAGGGAGAGGGAGAAGCAGGCTCCCTGGAGAAAGGAGCCCAATGCGAGGCTCAATCCCAGGGACTCTGGGATCATGACCTGAGCTAAAGGCAGGCACCTAACCAACTGAGCCACCCAGATGCCCCATAAAATAGTCATTTTAGAGGACAGAAGGCAGTCATACTTGTCTTAGGCTGCTCTAACAAAATAGCATAGACTAGGTAGCTTATAAACAATTTTATTTCTCATAGTTCTAGAGGCTGGGAAGTCCAAGATCAAGGTGCTGGCAGAATCAGTGTCTGGTGAGAGCCCTAGTCCTGGTTCACAGATAGCCAGAAGGGATTAGGGAGTCAGGAACTCTTATTAAGGAAACTAATCCCATTCATGAGGGTTCTGTCCTCATGACCTAATCATATACCAAAGACCCCCACCTCCTAATGCCATCACATTAGGGGTTAGGATTTCAACATATGAATTTTGAGGGGACATAAATATTCAGTCTATAACAATACTAGAGAAGCACAGTAGCATAGCTGGGCAGGATCAAGTGCCCATTTGAGATTTGTGGCCTTGTGAGTGGGTAGCTGAGATGGTGTGAGGGAAAAGATCATAGTAGCCAAGGAGTCATAAGACCAGACTGTTGGGAGGATTGGCGACCTGGTTATTAGTGGTAAGTTAGTGACCAAGTGAGTTCTTGAATCCAGATATCCTAACTTCCCAGTTTAATAGGTTACCATTTTACTGATAAATGGCTCATAGCATCACTCTTTTGTGCCACCTACCCTTCCGGTTAACATTTAAAAAAAAAAAAAAGTGCCTTGATTTTTTTTTTTTTTGGATCCTTATATCCAAATTCTAGATTTTCATAGGCTGCTGCTTTGTTTCTCTCTTATCCCCTTAATATTTACTTGTTAAATTTGTGTGGGGGGGGGCTTTTTTTTTAACCACTTCCATCAATATGTGTTTATTAAATTGCAAAACTCTAACTCTTAAATAGTAAAGTGGAGATGAAGGATGAATTTGGAAATCCTGTTGCCTGTAGAACTGGGATTACCAGTAATAGGGAGACCTGATCTGTATTTACTCTAATAATAATAATAATAATAATAATAATAATAAATAGCATTGGGGTAGCCTTTTACATTTTGTGCTATGCGTTTTTTTTTCTTATCTCATCTGATTTTATAGCTACCTTTTTCAGATGAGGAAACTGAGGCTCAGAGAGGTTAAGGGTCTTAACCAAGGACACATACCTAGTAAGTGGCAGAATTATTAACCACAGTGTTCTGACAATAAATCCCATATTTTTTACCGTAGTAGTTTGTCTCTTTGCTTTTTATACTCTATTATATCCAAAATGATATCAAAGAAAAACTGCTAGGTAGAAAGTAATGGCTGGCTAGAGTTCTTTTACAATTCAAAAACTTTTTTTTTATATGTTTAAAACTCAACAGTTAATGAGATTAGATAATTACCTACCATCTAGGTAATTCAAAGAACTCAGAAATGATTATGAAATCAGCGCTGATTTAATCTAGTAGGTAAATCTTTGGCCCTCTCCCAAGCACAAACTATATGTGCTTCCACAATACCCTGTATTGACTAAACTCTATGCACAAAGGAGAATGAATACAGTACCAGTTACATAGCGGGGTCTCACTGAATATTTGTCAAATAATAGAATGATGATAGTTAAACAAGCAATTGTATTAGTGAGATACACTAATGCTGTGATAAGGGATGGATGCTATGATAAGGATGCATCCTAAAGGGAACTTCTAAAGGAAGGATCTCTAAACTGATACAGAGTTAGTTGTGCAAAAAACAGGGGTGTAGGGGTGGAAGACAGTATACAGAATGTAAAAAGTCTCAGAGATATGAGGCTTGGCAGGTTTAAAGAACTAAAATATAGCTGATGTTTAAAAAGACAAGTTAAAAAA